TTGTTTTTAATATTGTTTGGAAATTAAATATAAAAAGCTGTAGAGTATATAAATTTTTTTTTTTTCTTATAGAATATTAATAATTTTAATTTAAATGTAAATTAAAACATAACTTTTACATATCTAGTTATTATAATTAACAGTCAATATAGGGTTTTATTGCATTATTTTTTTCAATCATTCATATGTTAATCTTATCAAGATAGAAAAATGTCTACCCATGTCACATTTTATGTACAGTTTATTTCTCACATTACTTAATTTACTGCAAATACATTTATAGGTATTTACATATGAATCATTTAAAAAATATTTTCTTTGTCAAGTAGAATTGACGACAGGCATAAAAATGAAATGTCAACTTCAACCCAGTATAAAACCAATAAAATCTTTCACCAATCTCGTGCTATTTGGTTAAATAAGTTGATAATTCACTGAAAAATATACAAAAGCCTTACTTTGCCATATCCGTGATGTACTGATCACCCTTCACACATTCCAGTACTTCAAAGCCATCTCTGTCTAAGACCTTAGCTTGCGCTGCACCGCTGACCACTAGAATGGAATCCCCTGTTGCCGAGTACTGTAGGGCTTTGATAGGATGATTCTCACAAGGTTGTAGAGTTCTGAAGGAACGCATTGAGGAATCCATACCTGGAGAAAGATGTAATACAAACAATTATTACAATGGCTAGCAAATATAGAACATTTTCAGTAAAGGATATTTCTTATTTCCTCTTTGCCAAATCCACCTTCCAAAAGAGGACTAAAACAAATAAAAAGAAAGTAAAAAAACCCAAGATGAATTTACTCAAAATCGAAAAATTATTAGAAATTAAAAAGTAAAGTTACAAGTGAGATTCTAATTCAAGTTTTTCACTATTTTCTTCGAATCATAATTCTCAAATCCACTGTAGATGTTATGTGCCAATGTAATACATCTTACGTCACTTTGGAGAAGTTGAATCAACTGACCTCTTTTGTCAAAATTAGTTTAGTAGTTGAAGCTGTAGGCTGTCACAATGGAATTTACATAAATACAAACCTACATACACAAAAACAAACTTACATAAGTGCGAAAAACATTACCCTGTTTGTCAGTCAGCTAAGTAAATGTCTACAATAATATTGCTTAAAAAAGTGAGTGAGAAGAGAGTATTCTTCTTCATTTTATTTATGAACTACTTACCAGCAAAATCCCAGAAAGCCACATCATAATCTACAGACCCTGTTGCCAAGCGAGCTCCGGAAGGATCTACAGCTAGAGCTATCACCGCTTTATTGCCATGAAGCATTTCCACCTACAAGTATACATTGAATATTTATTAATCTTACTAATATTATAAATGCGAAAGTTTAGATGGATGGATGGATGTTAGATTTTGTAGTCCAAATGGCTGGATGTCAGTGAAATTTAGCTAAGAAGCAGAGGATAGTTTAAAAGAAAACATACTAACTTTTGTTTTATTTAAAATTTCACATGGATGGAGTTCTTAGGCAAAAGCTGGTTAATTTTAAATTAAAAATGCCCTAGAAAAGTAAACAATAGTCTTTGGGTAATTATTTAGCTACTTATTTTACCTCATGTGAATTAGGTATCTTCTTCTCCAAGATAACATCATCATCATCATCAGATCCACTCAATTCATCATAACTGTCTTCATCACTATTTGATTCATTTCCTTTTGATGTATTCTTTACTTTTTCTCCTTCTAAAATCTCTTTAGGTACAGGTGGACCTATGAGTTCTTCACTTTCCTCTTGCAACACCGTAGGAACGGGAGGACCGATATAACTGTCCTCTTCACTCTCAGATTTGTTTCCCACTTCTTTGTCGTTTTCAGCCTTTTTTGTAACTTCCTGAGCAGTTTTCTTGGCTTGTTCCATCATTTCTTCGACGTTAAAGTTTTTCGCTTTCTTACCAAAGTTTTTAATACCCATTATTTGGTGTACGTGTTGGTTTTCCAGATCGTCGGCAATTTCTTCGATTTCCTTCTGTTCTTGAATTGGTATTCTACCAAACGTACCGAAACCCGATGTCGAGGCATCTTCTTTTTCAGGTTTGTTTACCTTTAAACTAATTTTACCGAAGGATATTGGTTTTTTATTCATCTTAATCTGAATGTTTAATGTTTCAGTATTTGGTTATGTTTATGTGGTATGTTTCAAAGTAAAGTTTGATAATTCCTTATATTAAGTAAAATATGCTTACTCTAAGTTCCACTTCACTGTTTAATTACACGGTATTTTATGTTTTAAAATAGCAAATTCGGAAAATAAATTAATAAATAACAAGTTGAAGAATCGAGTAAGACATTGACTTTGACAACTGAACTGACACAAATAAAGAGTAGGTAGTGTTTATGACCATTACTTATCTATTATTTGGAAAAACTAAGGACTGAATTTTAATACAACTCATTCTTCAGTTAATATAACGAAATAATTTAAGTATCGAGCGTTTAAGTCTTTGTCTAATTCTTAAATATAAAATAAAAAGATTTACATAATGTTGAATGTTGTACAAGGACATTCTAATTAGATTTCTTTTGCATAGAATTTTAGTCCTTATTGCCAAACAGTTAGTATCGATACTCGAGATAAAGTTGTTTAAAGCCGGTGTAAATCGACATATTTTGTGACGTATACGTCAGACAATAGGATACAAAATAAAATATTTTCCTTCGTAAAATAAAATACCAACAAATACGATCTACTTATCATACTTAAGCATTGTTGAAATAACTTCATGTACATTTTCAAGAAAGTTATTAAGTAGCAGGTGCCCTGAATTCTTTAGCATTGTACTGACATACCATTGTTTGGTTTTGCTTAATTAAAAATTATTTATGTCCATTCTGTTCAGGGCTGGAGAGGCGACCGCTCGTTCAGAATGTTTATCAAATCGCTCTTGTTTCTCTTTGTTGGAGCGGCTCTTGGTTACGTAGATAAACGTAAGTATAACTTTACTTACATATTTTGTCACAACCGGTATTCAGTATTTTAAAAGCGTTTCCCTTTTACAATCATCTTTTATAGTTTTTAATAATCTTAATTCTTGTTAACTATATTGATATCCGTTCTATTGCTTATTTAAGATTAAAAAAAAATAGAGGCAGATGAAAATAAAATAACAATATGAAGGTAGTCTGGTTTACAATGCTATTTATTGTAAAAAAAAATCAATATAGCATAGAAGGAATAAATTGTAACAAAGAATAAAATAACTTTTTTTTTTTAAATAATTGATGAACACATTGAAATTTAGCTTTTTTTATATTTTTTTTCCAGAGAGTCCACCACAATGGAGTGATGTTTACACAGTGAAGGGTCTTCTGGTCATTCCTTATGCTGAACTGCATGAACCATTCTATGCTTGGTAAGAGAATACAATAAAACTAATTATGTGTTTGATAATTCTTTAAAAAATATCAAAATTTAACTGAATTAATAATGATAATAGAATCTATCTTGTATTTAAAAAACCTATCTCACTCTGTGATGTAATCAGTCAAAACATACTTTGCATTTATTTTAAAACTAGCATTCTCCTGTGACGCTGCATGGAATGCAGAAAAAAAGAATATGTAGTTTATGTGTTCTTCCAGACTATCTGGAATCTATCAGTTCTATGTGGAACAATAGCTTAGTTTAGCATAGGCTAGCAGGTACGGAATTAATTTAATTGAAAATCTGTAATAATTATCTCTGTTTATTTAGAGTGAGTAGGATGACATGTTTTCTCTGTCTAATTATACCAGCTCTGATAATAACCTTAGAAGTTGGCTAAATACACTTAAGTGTGAAAGCCAAGAAGGAAAGAAAAAAAAAAACCTTAGAAGTATGCAAAGGTAGTTTTATAGTCTTTAAATTCCAATAAACTTGCAATTATTAAAAACTACTTATTTAAAAGCATAACATGGAATTTATTATAATATCTTTTATATTTCACTTATTGTAGGAAATAGTATAAACTGTATGTATGTTTTTCTTGCCCTGATTTGGTAGTTTGTATTAAGTTTTTTTACACTAGCTGTTGCTCGCGACTTCGCCCGCGTGGAAATAAAAAATACGTTATCCATATAGCCTATGTTACTCACATATAAATTACTTTACTAATGGTGAAAGAATTTTTAAAATCGGCTTAGTAGTTTTTACATGAATCGAATACATACAAAAATCCAAAAATACAAACCTTTCCTCATTATAATATTAGTATAAATAACTTAATAATAAAACTTATGTACAACAATTTGATTTTGTGTTTCTCAATAGTATTAAATTATAATATACTAGCTTTCGCTCGCGACTCCGTCCGCGTGGTATTAAAAAAAAACAAAAGTGAATAGTCTATGTGTTCTTCCAGACTATCTTCTACATCTATACCAAATTTCATCGAAATCCGTTCAGCCGTTTAGGCTACAAACTCTAACAAACATCCATCCATCCATCTAAACTTTCGCATTTATATTAGTATGATAACAAAAATATTAAATGAGCTATAAGAATTTAATATTTACTTAGTTGAGTCTTGCTCTACTTTAAGTTGTTGAGTCACTTTAAATATGCATGTTCCTACATTTAACTTATGTTTTGTATATTATTATTCAAATGACTCATCTATTCAAATAATTACTAAGTTTGCAAAAACTTTTGTTTAATACATGATTTATTTTGTATCTAGGTTGCTTTTACCTCATTTAATTGCTGATTTGTATTTTTTTTATTCCGGTTTTTACTTATTTTTGTTATGAAATGCAAATGACATGATTAATTATGTATATCCATATATACATACAAAGGAATTATATTTTTGTATGTATTGTAATAGCTCAAAAACTACTGGACCGATTTAAAAAAATCTTTCACCATTTAAAAGCTATATTGTAGTAAGTAACAGGTTATGTTTTTTTTAAATTCACGCGGGCGAAGTCACTTATTATATGATTTTCCTTGTTTTTGTTTTAAAACACAAATGAAATGATTAATTATTGTTAATATTACTTTAGTGGTATTGTTAGTTTTACTTTAGTGGTTTACGAGCTGTTGCCCGCGACTTCGTCTGCGAGGTATTAGAAAACATACAAACTATATAAATTACAAAAAGCTACGTATCCCTCGGGAAGCGGACAATTCTCGGGGATGAAGCTTTACCCATGTGTACTGCAGACTTTGTTTTATATCTGTGCCAAATTTCAATAAGATATGTTGAACCGTTGCAGAATGATAGAGTATACATTAAAAAACTGAATTAATGAATCCCACGGGAACCGTAACTAATCCAGGGATAAAAAGTAGCCTATGTGTTCTTCAAGACTATGCTCCAAACCTGTGCTAAATTTCATAGAGATCCGTTCAGCCGTTTAGGCTACAAACGCTAACAAACATCCATCCATCCATCCATCTATCCATCTATCCATCTATCCATCTATCCATCCATCCATCGAAACTTTCGCATTTATAATATTAGTAAGATTAGTAAGATTTATGTTTGTTTCAGAAAAGTATTGTTTAGTATTGTTTAGCTTCTTGGCATTTTTGGCTTAACATATTGTTAATGATGTTATTGTCTGTGAGCATGGAGAAAAACAATGCCAGACAATTAGACAAACTATAAAACGAATGATGTAAAGAAAAAAATGTATTAACATAGTTTGGCACAAAAACATCGTATCTTGTGGATCTCTCCATTTGAAGAGCTTGATGTTTATTAATCTTACTAATATTATAAATGCGAAAGTTTAGATGGATGGATGAATGGATGGATGGATGTTTGTTAGCGTTTGTAGCCTAAACGGCTGAACGGATCTCTATGAAATTTAGCACAGGTTTAGAGCATAGTCTGGAAGAACACAAAGGCTACTTTTTTATCCCGGGAATAGTTACGGTTCCCGTGGGATTCATTAATTTAGTTTTTTAATGTTTACTCGATCATTCTGCAACGGTTCAA